TCTGGGGGTCGTTCGGCTTTGTTTGGGATTAGTTTGGGGTTAATTTGGGTTAGTTTGGCTTGGTTGGGGGTTGGGTTTATGTTTGGGTTAGTTTGGTTTTAGTCTGGGTTAGTTTGGGGTTAATCTGGGGTTGGGGTTCGTTTGGGGTTAGAGTGGGGTTATGTTGGGGTTTGGTTGGGGTTAGTTAGGGTTAGTTTGGCTTCATTGGGGGTTAGGGTTATATTTGGGTTACTTTGGGTTTGGGGTTAGTTGGGGTTATTTTGGGGTTAATCTGGGTGTTGGGGTTTGTTTGGGGTTCTTTTGGCTTAGTTTGGGGTAAGGTTGGGGTTCGTTTAGCTTCGTTGGGGGTTGGGGTTATGTTTGGGTTAGTTTGGGGGTTGGGGTTATTTTGGGATTATTTTGGGGTTAGCTGGGGTTAGTTTGGTTTTGTCAATTCCTAATCTAATGGCAAATACTGGTTTGGGTGCTCCCACGTGTGTCACAATCAGTTTTGTGGGAGGCAGCACGGCATGAAGAGCTGATGAATAAGAGGATGCACAACCACTCCTCAGCTCCCTCAAGCCATGGATTTATTTTCTGGTTGTGGTGGTCTGAGCCGTGTTTCCCCTCCTCTGCAGGTACATCGGTTCCCTTGAGGATCTCAAAAGGAAGTTTGGCACCAGTTACCGCCTAGAACTCAAGATGACAGACGCAGGGCAGGGCGATGCTCTGCACACCGAAATCCTGAACCTCTTCCCCCAGGCAGCTCGGCAGGAAAGGTCAGTGCCCATGGGCTGCCCACAGCCTGGATTTGGGTTGGGATGCTCTCTTCCTCCTGCTGACCTTGCTCAGTGATTCACCTGGAGCACAGTTATCCTACAAACCCCCCAAACTGCACTGTGACCGTGCTCACAGGGGTCTGAGGATGAGGGAAGAGATGAGGATCTGACTCCATGTTTCAGAAGGCTCGATTTATTATTTTATTGTATATATTACATTAAAACTATACTAAAAGAATAGAAGAAAAGGTTCTCATCAGAAGGCTGGCTAAGAATAGAATCAGAAAGAATGATAACAAAGCTTCTGTCTCAGACGGAGAGTCCGAACCAGCTCACTTTGACTGGCCATTAATTAGAAACAAACCAACATGGACAAATCACAGATGCACCTGTTGCATTCCACAGCAGCAGATAATCATTGTTTACATTCTGTTCCTGAGGCCTCTCAGATTCTCAGGAGGAAAAATCCTAAGGAAAGGATTTTCCATTAAAATATATCTGCAACATTGCACTGCTGAGTCACAAGATGAAGAATTAATTTTTTATCACTTTTTCAGGACTTCTTCCATGCTCACCTACAAGATTCCAGTGGCAGATGCACTACCTCTGTCCAGGTCTTTCTCCCAGCTAGAAGCAGGTAAAAGGAAACAATCAGTTAAATAAGGAAATCACTTTCAAATGGTTTCTGTGGGTTTGGTTTTTAAGGATGCTTTCTCCATCCCTCCGCAGCCAAACGGAATTTCAAGCTTGAGGAGTACAGCTTGTCACTGAACACTTTGCACCAGGTAGGCTTGTGCAGGAGCTCCAGGTTGGGAAAGGAAGAAATAAGCTGTGACCACCACAAATACAGCCAGGCCATGGCAATGATGGGGTGCTTTCCCATTGCAGGTGTTTGTAGACCTCACCAGGGATGCAGAGGAGCACGACCTGGAGGTGGCCTCCAACGGGGCTGTGGAGCAGAGACCCCTTCAGCCCTGATTGCTGGAGCCACAGTGGGGAATATTCCATGCATTTCAGCAGTGTTACTGCATTTCATCAGTGAAATCACTGGTGGCTGTGGTCAGCTGCAGCCCCAGCACTCGCTGACCCCCGTCACAGCACACACAGCCCTGCAGGTGTTCTGCCTCACAGAGAAAAAAAGAGTTATTATTTTAATAAATAAAGCCTTTATCCTTTGACATATCCGTGCCCCTGCTCAGGGTGGCTCATGGGGCTTGAATTCCTGACCCCGAGGCTGTGAGGAGCGCTGGGCTGGGAAAGGAGCTCAGTCCCTGGGGAGAACCAGGAGCAAACCCTGGGGAGGCCCTGACACCTCTCTCATCCCTGGCAGGAGGACACCAGGTCTGTGCCTTGTCAGCCCTGAGAATCCTCACCCTCTGCCCGGTGGGATGTGGTCAGCACAGCTAGCCTGATTCCTGGGAGAGAGAGGGACCAAATTTTGACCCAAAAAGCTGCTCTTGCTGTGAGTTCAGCTGCTCTTGCTGTGAGTTCAGCTGCTCTTGCCGTGAGTTCCAGCTCAGGCCAACTTGGTCCATCTCATCCCCCCCACTGGGGCCAGGGACAGAGGAAAGGACTCAGCAGCGGCTGGATAAATGTAATGAAAACTGGCAGCTCTTTTATCATTGTCTATAAAAGCCAGTTATTAATTAGAATCAAAATAAGGTGTGCTTTGACCCAAAATAGAGCTGAAGGAGGACAGCAGGCTGAGCCTTGCTTTGGTCATTGGGAAGAGAGGGTGGGTGCCTGGGAGGGAACTGATGGGGAGCTGGGAGCAAGCTCCATCACCCTGACCCTGTCTGAGCAGGTCAGCATCTCCTCTTGGATTATCTGCCTGCCAGGGCTAGAGGTAAAAAGTAAATTAAAAAAAAAACAACACAAAAACCAAAAAAAAAAAAAAAAAGAAAAACCAAAAAAAACCCCACAAACAAAAAAACCCCAAACCCAAAACAAAACAAAAGACAAACAAACAAACAAAAAACCTAAACAAAACAGGAACTCCCTGCATCCAGGTGTTTCCCCCTGTGCCCTGTTCCCCTGTCCCCCAGCACCCTCTGGCAAAGGCTGGGGACCCACTGGAGGCCAGGGGCAGTGCCATCCCATGGGATGGACACAGCAGCAGGACCCTCACCGTGCCCTGAGCTGCCCTGGTTGCTGTGGGTGGTGCTGGGGGTGCAGGCAGGGGTGGTGCTGGGCTGGGACACAGCAGGGAGAATTCTGCAGGAGCTTTGGGCAGGCTGGGGTGTGTGTCTGTCTGGGCACTGCAGGCTGGGGTGTGTGTCTGTCTGGGCACTGCAGGCTGGGATGTGTGTCTGGGCACTGCAGGCGGGGATGTGTGTCTGGGCACTGCAGGCAGGGGTGTGTGTCTGTCTGGGCACTGCAGGCAGGGATGTGTGTCTGTCTGGGCACTGCAGGCAGGGGTGTGTGTCTGTCTGGGCACTGCAGGCTGGGGTGTGTGTCTGTCTGGGTACTGCAGGCTGGGATGTGTGTCTGGGCACTGCAGGCAGGGGTGTGTGTCTGTCTGGGCACTGCAGACAGGGATGTGTGTCTGTCTGGGCACTGCAGGCAGGGATGTGTGTCTGTCTGGGCACTGCAGGCCGGGATGTGTGTCTGTCTGGGCACTGCAGGCAGGGGTGTGTGTGTCTGGGCACTGCAGGCAGGGGTGTGTGTCTGTGTCTGTCTGGGCACTGCAGGCTGGGGTGTGTGTCTGTCTGGGCACTGCAGGCTGGGGTGTGTGTCTGTGTCTGTCTGGGCACTGCAGGCTGGGATGTGTGTCTGTCTGGGCACTGCAGGCTGGGGTGTGGGTCTGTCTGGGCACTGCAGACAGGGATGTGTGTCTGGGCACTGCAGGTAGGGGTGTGGGTCTGTCTGGGCACGGCATGTGGGCCAGCAGGTACCAGCAGGTGGCTGCCCTGGCTCATGGATGGGCTGCATGATGATGGCACCGCATCAGGAGCAGTGCCCAGAGCAGCCACCCACACCCTGGAGTTCTCCTTTCCACCTGGCTCTCCCAACATCGGGGCTCTGCCAAGGAAGTGGGCAGGGGGGAGGCTGAGATTCACTGCCTGGCACCTGGCAGCTCCCCCTCTTCACGTTAGGGTTGTTGGTTTTCCTTTAGGAAGGAGAGAAGGAGAAGGTTTGGACACCCAGGAGATGTTCTGGGACAGGTTTAACTCCATCCTGTGCCCTGACTTCCTGCACCTCTGCTGTCTGCCTCGCTCTGACACATCTGAATGGGATTTAAACCTTATGAGTGGGGTTTTTTTCCTGCTAGGCAGAGCAGGAGGAAGCAAATCCAGCTGCTCCACTTTTCCTGTCCCTCCCAGCCCTGGTCCCTCAGCCTAAGGATGCTGCTTTGGGCAGCCACGCTCCAGAGCCTGGGCTGAAACCAAACCCATCCCCTTTAGGAGTGCAGGCTTAGTCAGGAGACATTTATTTCAGCACTTCCAAGATGTTTTTTAGCTGGAAGAGCTGCAGCTATGCAGGAGGAAGAACTTTTCTGCCGCTCCTGCTCTGTGGCTGATGGCACGGGAAGAGTTTGCCACCTTTTGTTCTCCCCTGGCTGTGCTGTGACATCTCTGTTGACTTCAGCCCCACTTGCTGCACTGAGAAACACAGCAGAGTTTGCTAGAGAAAGGATTTCTGTGTGGTTTGTTGCGGGGCTGGTTTTTCCTCTCCTGGCCACCACTCAAGAATGTCCCGCGTTAACTTTTCGGACGAGGCGCTCCAGCGCCCCAACAGCGATGTGCTCTGTTTGCTTCTTCTGACACAAATAAAGCTGGAGCTCGGCCAGGGAGGAAGGACAAGGAAGCCAGGGGAACAAAAGAACCCATGATGTGAGGAATGTCTTTTGCAGAAGTGTCTGAGGGGGGAAAAAACGGGAAAAGAGAGCTGGGAGTTTTTGGGAGAGCCAGTCAAGCCCAGGGAGGCTCAGCACCTCTGCTCCTCAGGACAGGCTCTGGAGTCCTCTGCAACCTTCCTGCTGAGGTAAGGCTGAAGCATTTTTCCTAAACCTAAATAGCAAATGTTATTTTGAAGGTATGAAACCGCCAGTAAATGATAATGCTGTTAATAACAGCAGGTGAGGGTACAATGTGTTGGTGAGGCATGGGGCACCTTTCTAATAGGTTGGGTCAAGCTTAGGGGTGTTTAAAGGCAACAGAGTCTTTTAAACCTTGCTTTGAGATGAAATAACTCACAAATGGAGCTCAGCTTGTGGCAGAGATTTATTTCCAGTGTTTCTCAGCACTACAAGGAGGCAGCAGCTCCAGCTCAGTATTTTAAATGATCCAGGACATACGAGGAGCAGGTTTCTTTCCCTACCTTCAGTGTAAGCTAAAGTTTGGATTTAAAAGTTCTGTCCATCTTATGCTCTAAAAAAATCCTCCTAAAATACCACAGGAGCAAAGAAATCAGTTGTGCCACATTTCCCCAGCTGCCCAAACCCTGCAGCAGCACGGGGTCAGTGGGCACTGAGGGGTGACCACACAGGGGACATGGGGCATGTCCAGGATGAGCTCCTGATGTGCCACTCTCCACCCCAGGATCTCTGGGACTGTCAGCCCGCTGAGGTTACTCCATGGGACCCTTAGATCCACCTGGCAAGGGACTTTAGCTGTGACACCAACCCCGTGGCAATGGTGGAGATGTGCAGGTGACACTCAACCTCCTGATCCTCATTTCTGTGGGGTGAAAAAGCAACCAAATATTAGCAAGTTTAAACCCACAGATTATTCAAAGAAGTCTAGAGGTTATTACACACTAAATTCAAAATTTTATACACCTGGGTTTAGTGAGAGCATCAGTGAGGAAAAACTCTGTTTAGAGATGGGGGCAAAAGCCAGGGCAAGTGTTTGCAGCCCATTTGTTGCAGCTGCTTTTCCAGCATTTCAGTGCCTGCTGTCTCATCACATCCAGAGATTCAGCCCCTGAGGGCTGAATAGAAATATCTGGAGGAAGATAAAGTCTGTTTTGCCTGTCAGCACCAGGAGGCATTGTCCCCCAGGGGAACAACACAACGTACATCTTCCTTCCCTATGACAGGAAGGCTTGAAGGGATTAGATCTGTAACACCTCCGATTTTTCTACCTGAGAATCACTTAGAGAAGATCAGGATTTTGTTGAAAAGCAGATTTTAGCTCCAGATGTGACAGCAGAGCACTTTGGCCATGTGAACAGAGCTCTTTTACATGGAGCTACTGAATCCTTTTGCTCATTAAAGGTCCTCATGGATATTTTATGGATGGTTAAAAGCACAAGTCTCATCTGCAGAAATCTGACAGGCAGCTTTGTGCTTTACTTCTTTCAGTTCCCACATTAACCAGGCAAAATAATCCTTGTTTTGCTTGGACCGTGTCGTTTTGAGGATTCTGCCCTGTCTGTTGGAGTAACACCTCAGTGCATGCTCGTGGCCACTCAGTTTTATCTCATTTCTCATTAATAACCTGCCAGTGACATCTCTCCCACGCACTTCCAAGAATTTGCTCTCTATTAGCTCCGAGGTCCCTTCAGCAGATGCTGCTTTACACAAGAGCTCAGCTCACACCACAGCCAGGAGTTGCTCAACACTTCTTGGTGCTGAGCCTAAAGCACATTAAAATTGCAAGCAAAAGGATTTTAGGGATTTTAATTGACTATATTGTTGTTGTTTCTTGGGTATGGAGCCCACCCAAGATTATTAGGTCATGTAATGGGATAGTCCCTTTATATTTCATCAATAAATGATGAACTCCTCCCAAACTCCCCATGCTGAAGCATGGAAGCCTGAAATTCTGATTTCTATCAGCGTTTGCTGCTGAGCTGTGAGGGTTGGAGTGTGTTGAGGGTGATGAGGTCTCTTGGACCCTGTGCTGCGGGGGTGGTTGTGCTCAGCACACAACATCTGAGTTTCTTCAGCTCATTATTGCTGTAAAATGGGAGAAAAAGCTTCACTGCACATCTACAAGGACTGTGCAAATAAAACCAGTTGCTGCTGGTTTGGCTTTTGATGTATTTGAAGGCAATTTTCAAAAAGAATTTGTCTCTAGGTTCAAAGATGAAGACAGTCCAGAGGAATATAAGTGTATTCCAGCAAACTAAAATTCTCTTGTGGAAAAATGTCCTGATCAAGTGGAGGATGAAGACGCAGAGCTTTCAGGT